AGGATTTTATTTATTATTAAAACGAAAAACATAATTTCAAATTAGTTTTACTCTCGTCTCATTAGAGGGCGCCACTTGAATTAGGGCATTCCCAAGATCTGTATAAGAAGGTCAGGACACACTCCCGTGATTCTATGCGGCAGCGGCCATTTTGGGACTCATCGATAGAGCTCACCACACGTGGTTCTTGCATGAGTCGACTATTATTACTTATATAAGTACTTAAAACGTTAAGCAATGGGTTATTGTGTTGCACCTAATTGTAAAAGTAAGTCTACCGACGTTCGATTGTTCAGATTTCCTGCAGATAAGCGGAGGAAAGCAAAATGTAGCGTAGGCATCAACTGATGGTTCATGATGCAGTTCAAAGAGTTTATATGTTTAAAGTTTGTAACAAGTGGTCTAAACGAGTAGATACTCTTCGTGTTTATGAACGAACTATACATGGAAATTTATAAAAGATATTGGCAATCCAGATATAAAACAAATGTAATTTTTTCATTTTTCTATCTGGTGATAAAATAATTAAGCATGTAATTGTTTTAATATGACCATATTGTATTTAAAAATAAAATTATGATGATGGTATTGACTTATACTCTCAATATTTATTAATAAAACATTGCAAAAAATTTAGTTTAATAGTAATTTATACTTAATTCAATTTAAATAAAATTTACATTAATTTTATTGTCAGAATTTTTATTTTAAAAGACGTGATGGAAATCTAAATGTATCTAATTCTTATAATCTAGAGATTCNTTTAAAAAACTGATTAAACATTTAATACCCGATTTGGAAGCAAGAAATTCATTATTTATCTTCAATTTTTTCCAATCGATGGCACCTCATTTTTACACAATTTCCATTAAAATCCTTTTGAATTTCATAATATTCTACAGTAGAGCATCGATTATCCGACCGCCCGATTAACCGTCGCCTCGGTTAACCGACCGCGTTCTAGTCGGCAAATTCAAATGTCCGCTAGTGATGTGGCGCTACAATATTTGGTTATGTCTTGGCTACTTTAATATTATTTTTGTTAAATTTTTGCGTGTGTTAGCTGGCAACACTGGCTCGACCATGAAAGGGAGGCCAGTATTTAAACGAGGCTTAATTTTCTAATTATGAGTGGTTGTTTGTTTTGTGATCAATAAAATAATTTTTAAGGATACAATAGCGACGATTATTATTTTTAAAAAATTTGTTAGGTTTAACATAGATGAAAATTCAACGCGAAGTAGGTTAATAGCGATATACTAATTACATGGGATATAATAATATACTACACTAATAATGGATTTTTTTCATACTTTTCTGTTATCCGACTTTTCAATTATCCGATCAACCCCAGTCCCCAATTGAGTCGGATAATCGATGCTCTACTGTACTTGCAAAGACGTGTGTTTCACAAAATATCTCTCCAACAATTATTTATTTCCAAACCATTATTACTATTTAATTATGAATGTGCATAAATGTTTAAAATTTTCTAGAATAGTAATTTAGAAAGTTATTCGATCCGTGGACCCTTTACACCGCATTACAGAGGAACCACACATCACCAATTGGCCTCCGTCCACTTTCTATTCTTCAAATAATACCAGAGAAATATGCCATGGTATTTTGTCTAGCCGATAACCTAATGTGAAACATAGACGATAAGTAAAAATGCTCTCTCCTTTGATTAAACAGATTAAACAGTGATTTCATCTACTTGGCCAACCAGGGGCCAAGTAGATGAAACCACTGAACACTGAACTCGCCTAACCAACAGGTTGGCCGCGTAGGGTTTTCCGGGTTTTCTTCACGTTTCTAACGTATAAATCGGGATCAGTTTGTCATTAAAAAAAAAAAGTCCTCCTGGGAGGTATACAGATCTCCCATGTGTTGGATTTCTTCTTCCATCAATCAAACCCTTGTCCTCAACCATTTCTAACTTCTTTTTTTAGGTCATTTTCTACTATTATTGACTGTTTTCATTTATTTGCAGTTATTACTTGTAAATTTGTTATGCTTGACAAATTAAGAGAAAATTCTTCGTAATCTATATTGCTTTGAACTCTTTTATGTGATAACTAGATGAGCATATTGGTAAAGGCATCAGCCATTTGAAGGCTCGGGTTCGTGACAGTGAACTCAAAAATTTTAATGTGAATTGATCCGAATATGTCGGATGTTGTTTCACATCAATGCCACACATCTGATCCTATTGTGAGCATGACTAGACTCATAATACATATGAAAAAAGTTTTCTTAGCATCGAAGAATTGAAATTTGGTACTAAAGATTAAGGAGGATTTAAGGAATCGGATGGCTAAGACGGTAAAGAAATCAGCCTGGCGCTTTAGAGATCCAGTGTTGAACCCATGGACATTCAACCATGTCTCTGACTACTTGGCAACTTCCATTATGTATTTGTGAGCCTGATCCATATGATAGGTATAATTAAAATTTCGAAACCCATAATTGATGTAATTTAAAAAGCAGTTCATGTTAGTGCTTTTGGGTGGAAAGAATTAAAGATACTGAATAATTCATTATCAATTCTAAATATTCTTAGTATTTTGATTTGTATTCTTTGTTTTTAATGATGCCATTAATATTCACATTAATACATAGACTGCTGCACAAATAAAGTTTAATTCTTTTCAGGTTTTAAGAATTATAAAAATTTACAACTGAAACAACANTAGTGGAAAATTACAAATTTTAATTTAAAATTAAAATAAAAACATTCATTTTTATTATTTAGGTGTAAAAAGATATGTATTAGATTCAGAGCAGGATTTACACATTAAGCTAAACATCTGCAGCTTAAGAGCCTCTCACACTACCAAGAATATAATTTAGGATTTTTACAATTTTTTGAATTTGTAATTATTTGATAGAGGAGAAAGTACAGTACCTCTTATATAATATAGTTTTGGGCCACAACAAAGTGTAAATCCGGCTCTGGTTATGGTTATCAGTTGCTTTATTTGAAGAGAGTTTTTGAATTTGAGAAAGACTGGTGCATAGAGAAACATTATATAAAAAAGGTTTTTAAATATAGAGAATATTGTTTTAGTGCTACCATTTTTATAACAAAATGGGATTTCTTTTGAGTTTAGTTTAGTTTAATTTCCAAAAAAAGATTCTCTTTGGAAACTAAACTAAACTTTAAGTGATGCAAAGTATCTACAAATTTTACAGAAATTGCTAAATATTTTGTAAATGGCATCGTTAACCGACTTTTGAGCCACTCTAAACCATAGAAGAAAATTGAAATAAAGCAATAAGTTATTTATTTTTCTTTACATGTTATTATGTATAATAATTTTCTATACATATAAATACATATATTATACACAGAGTGTCTCAAAATCAGTTAACTAACTTTTAGGTCATCCTATATTTTATTCAAGAATATATTTTTAAATATATACTCAAATTACAAAGCTCTAATACTTTCACTACTCCCAAACTATTCAGTTAACTGACTTTTGAACAATCATACGCCTGTATATAAGCATATATAAGTTAGAATCTTTAAATTACTGACCCTTGAAAATAACACGGTTAATCGACTTTTGGGTCACCCCTATATATTATGCAAGAAATTATACATCGAAGAAAGGTACAAAATTTTAAAACAGCCTAATCTAAAAGAAACACTAATACGTTTAATTACACATATTGTCCATTTTTTTTACTTTTAGTTATTCACATTACCTTAGATTTACATTCATCCTCCAGAGTCGCGCCCACCAAAGACTGAGAGGATAAAACCATTGAATACTTGTAGTTTGTCGCGGGATCAGGCCTCACCAATGGGCATATTATGTGGAGTTTTCAGGGTTTTTCACCTACCTAACACCTAAATATGGGTCAGTTTTCTATAAAAGTCCTCCCTGGAGGCATCTTCTGTTGATAAATCTCCCATGTGTTGCGTTGCAGTATCCCACCAAAGCGATCAACCCCCAAAAATCACATCCATATCTGAAAGTTATGGATAGAAGTGTGGATATCTGAAAGGGTGCTTCCTCGAAGTTATTGTTTCTCAACTATGCTCAATGTTTCGTAACTGCACCTTTATGCACTACAGAAATTAGCTAAAGCCTTATCGCTAGGACGTTTTCATTCAATTAGTTCGTTTACATTATGATGATTTCTTTGGATTTGTACAATTTTTTTAAGACGGCTCTGCAAAATTTAATAATTTCAGTTTAATTTTGAAGATGTTTTACTCGAAATTATCTAAAGTTAATCATTTCAATTAATTAATACAAGTCTTTTTAATACACTTAACTCTTCTGATTTAATTCAACGCTCAGGACCAAACTTACACAAAGTTTTAATCTTAAGGATCACGATATTCAAATGATAAGGCCTTACGTTTACAAAGAACTCCCAAGTTAAAAAATTACATCTTAGTGTTTCACGCTATGAGGCCAGAGTTTATGACTTTACGCTTATAAATGTATTATAAATTTTATGGGAAAAGGCCTTTCATACCATCAATTTTATGAAAAAAAGGGCTTCTCATATAAATTTCGTAGGGGAGGCTCTAGGGCTTCTCCCTAGAGCCTCAACAAGTTTAAACCAGATNTAGAGGAAGACCTCGAAAGACTTGGAGAGATAACATCAAAGACTGGACTGGAAAGGATTTAAGAGAAGCCTGGAATAGAGAAACATAGAGAGGAATAGTTCATCAAATGCAACCCTCTGTAGAGAGGATGCCACTGGATAGATAGAATAAGAAAATCATACATTTCAATAACAGAACGTAAGATTGTAGCTTACTATATCTAACTCTAAGGTAATTCAAAAGTTTCTATACAAAACACAGACCGTCTGAAGAAACCTTTGTCATGTGTGTGTGTACACATATCAGACACGTTAACATGCACTTAAACATGCATTCAGTTAAGTATTGTTTATATATATATATACATATTGTATGTTGTGGGTTATATGTGACTATATAATAAAGTGTAGCTTCTGCCTTTGCTTATATACAGTACAGTGATTTCTGAATCGCTCTGTACAAAGAATTTCATTAAAGATAAGGCAATCCAACACATTAGCGATCTTCAAGATGTTCCTGCTGAGAGAATTTTCAATCGGAAACTGGCTCTTACTGAAGTGTTAAATACGTGAAGAAAACCTTGAAATTTCACGTAGCCAGCCCGTTAGTAAAGTGTAAACCCACGACCAAACTACCAGTGTTTAGTGGTATTATCTACTCAGCCACTGCTGAGAACTACAATGTATAAGAATTCATTAACCATTCTGTATGAATTAATTGTAAAATATGAAATATATATATTATGTAAAATATTAATTTTTACCTTTTAGGTTTTCTTGGAGAAATATCTGTTGGTAATTTCGGTAATGGCATATCCATAGGAAACATATCTACCCACATTTCTAACTTTCCCTAAATGAATGAAGTAGAAGAGATAAATAATATATGTAAATTTATTGGTTTCAACATTTAGTTGAAAATAATATCTACATACATTATTTAATATTATTTCTAGATTATTTAGATAGATATTATTTAATATAGATGTCTGTTAACCTGTTCAATTCCTGGTTTATCTGGATGATAGAGAGGTCTGGTTTCTACATGTTCCGGTACTAATTTACAACCCACATAAGGTATTTCGTGCCAACGATGTAAAATTGCCAATGCTAAATATTCTTCATTTAATTTTGTACCTAAAATAAGAGTAACAATTATTTATATTTTCTTCGATTAGAATTATTTGTTAAAAATAAATAATTTTATGGCTAAAAATATATTTAAAAGTTCTTAAGGTAATTAATATAAGTCGTTAAATATAATTGAAACAACACTAAAAAGATTTCAACGAAATTAAGTGATGATTGGTTAAGGGAAAATATAGGCGTAATCGATAATCTATTCTTCAACCAATCATCTTTATTAAATTCATATCCTAATCTAACGTCATTGAAATTTATTTGGCGCGCTATCTTTTATATTAAGCAGAGGACTACTTACATTTTATGCTTAATTTAAGAAAATGATTTGCTCAAATATATTTTTAAAATAATGTTTTTAATTTTTATTTTCTTGTATTTCAAAAATATAATTCTAACTTAAAATAACTGCAATTCGCACTTAAATTTTACATAAAAGATATCTAACAAAATAAAAAAATTCAATATTTTTTATAATTACATAAATATTAATAAATAAATTTAAGAAAAATACTTAATTTATAATAAATTCTTAGTAAATTGTTAAAATATTGAATTTAGAATACTAAACTGACCTTCTTCTTCATATTCAGATTGAAAATTAAATACTTTGGTACCAATTCGGACTCGATTGTACATAAAAACTGGCCCTTCAAGTTTATTATCTTTACATAATTTGGCAAGAATCTGTACAGGTTTCATTGGATCTCTCCATTGACTCGGCCCAGAACTATAAATAATCATGTTTGATTATACAGATTCAGGTTGAAATGATTTAAATAAAATTAAATAAATTACGTTTCATATTTTTGAGCAATACCACACGTTGCCCTATGTTTACTATAGAATCTATTCTCTAAATCCAGTTTAGTTTCTCCGATGAGATCATCACTTCCAAGAAGATCCCAATCAAATATCTGAACTGTGAGCAAGGAATCTTGTGGAAAAGTTGCTTCAAATTCGAAACATCTACATTAAAAAAATATATTCCCTGAGTTAATTTCAGTTTTTACTGAAATTTCAACGTCTTTTCAATAAGAACATCAAAACTAACTTTCCAAAAACTGGATTTAACTGCTTGGAAATGTAATTTTCTTTGTCACTTGTGCGTTTATTGCCTAAATTGATAACTATATATGGATCAGCTTTACCATTCAGATCGGCTGGATGCAAGTCTGTTGCCTTAACTATATAAATTCGGATTAAGACGTGGATAGGATCATTACTGGGAATGCCATGGAACATTCCATTTTGAAGTTCAGCACCAGGAACTTCTTGTAAAGATTTCGGTAGAGGGTATTTGTATACTTGCAAAGAGCCCTTAAATCAATTAAAATGTATAAGTTTTACTGTTTTTACTCACAATAAAACGAAAAATTAACTAAATTTACAGATTCATTTACCTTAAATATTCCAACGATTCTGTTTTGGTCTTCAAGTTCATCTCCCGTTCGTTTGCCACGGAATAACTCAAAGGAGTGGAGCCATTCTTTAAAGCCATTAAAATCCGTAACGCTCTCTAACTCGCAAGGATAAATCTATAGGAAAATATTAAAATATCTACACATAACCCAGATTGATCAATTCAAAAAATATTTACCTTTATTTGTGATTCATTCATTGCTTCTTTTCTCTGTGATTTTGGTGATAATCTAGCAGCTAATCGGACGGCGGTAGAAGTTCCTTTAAAGGTTCTCCTCTTCCTCTCAGCTTCAGGAAGATGCTGATATTCTAACCTCTGGAGCTCCTTCTCCATCTTTTTTGTATCCTTTGCACTTAGTTGATCAGGATCAACTGAATTAAAAGAAATAAACAAGAAAGTATTTGCACTTTAATGCTCTATTTTCACGAATTCATCTCAAAGTTTATAAAATAAAAAACTAAAACAATAAATTAAATCTACCATCTTAATATTTAAATGAAATTTATTTTCTGTATACAAATATTAACTGTTTAGATGGATAAATGAAAGTTTAAAATGTGATTTACTCATAAATTATAAAAGGAAAATAGCTTCAAACTTACCCTCTCCATTGCATTGCACTTCCCCATTCATGGTTACTGAAGGTTGTGGGCTTACGCAGTTTGTATTATTTTGATTTTCTGTACCGTCTTTGCTGTCCTAAATAACATTATGCTTCAATTAAACCACTATTTTTAATTATTCTTATATACACTGTATATATAAATATATTCTTTGACCTTTATCATAGTTTCGTAGGATGCGAAATATCCACTCCACCAATCTTTGTTACTTTCATCATCTGACAAAGCTTCTTCTGCTTGTTGCTTCTTCTTTTGTCTGTTTGCTTCACTTTTTAGTTCCTTTTTACTCTTTTTCATTTGCTTAAATATAATTTAACACATATTTTTATTTACTTTTCATTAATTTCTACGTTTGTTTTCTGTAAAAAATACTCACTCCTTCAATTGTTAAATTAATTTCTTTCATGTTAATTGCGTGAGTATCTGCATCAATCTGTATGACCGTTTCTTCAACAGGAACTGATAGAATATTGCGGTTGTTAAAGTCTAAATAACAAATTTAATATGATTATAATTATTTAAATCAAGAAAATAATTGTAAAATACAAGAAAATTGCTATGTTTACTGTATGTTTGCCTCGAAGAGTCTTGTTCCTTTTTAACAATAGGTCTATACATGAATTTCTGCAAAGCACTAATAACATGAGTTCCTACAAGTGTGAATCTACCAAAACTGCGACAGTCCATAACCCGAATGGTTAGAGGAGGGCAATACATTTCCTGATCAGGTAATTCCTATAAAAATAAAAATAGCAACAATTCAAAATATAATTTTTTCTTAATAACATAATATGTAAATTCTTTAATGTTACACATCTTACCACATCAAAATGCTTGACCATAACAGAGAAATTTGGATTTTTCTTGCAATTTAAGATAACTGATGATTGCAAAACGTGTCCTGCACATTCAATATCTACTCTAGGACGATCCACTGTCATCAAGTGAACCCTTTTTAACTCTCGAAGACCCCAAAACAGCACCTGAAACAACCTTTCATTTTACTCTTCTATTTACTTTTTCCACTTACACAAATCTCGTTTATAACCCATTTTATTCAATTAAAATAGCTAAAATCTGGCAATTGTTTAATAGAAACATGGATTTAATTGCTTTATAATATATTTATACGCGTGTATAAACCCNGGCTAAATTTAATATATATCAATATATATGTGTGTATATATTTTATATATATATGTAGTATATTTTGGTTAATTTAATCAAAAAATCTTCTAAAATAATTTCAAAATATACAACACTTTTCAAATGTATTGCTTACATACATAAAACTGTACAAACGAACATAAAATATGTGGATCTAAATGTTGATATAAGTTAGGCCCCCAACATCTTTTTTACTGTGTATCCGGGCATAGAATACACAAACAGAGCTAAAATGAGCACGAGCATGGCACCTATAAGTATTTTGATAATCATCCATTTATAATTGTGCCATATGATGTAACGGATTGACTTCAATGGATTCAAGAACCAAATAAATGACGAGTCTGGCCGACTAGAATTAAAATAAAAAAAGATCAATTGTTTTTAGTTATATACTATTATGATAATAATAACATGAATAACATAACTTTAATTGAAAAAATATATCGAAAACGTAAAAATAAATAAATTAAATAAATATTTTCATATGAATATAAGCAGTTCTCTGTCAAAAATATACGGTAGGATAAACAATTTTAAAGTTACGATGATCTTAACGAAGATTCAAGAGACTCCTCCTGCTTATTTTCCTTATTTGGTAAATAACTCCGCCCATTATGTTTCTTTAGCTAATAGCAGTTTACGTAATTATATCAGCAACCAATCAGTTTCAACAATATGTAAAAATTTTAAGATATTATATCTTCTGTATTAGTTAAATGACAGTCTATATTCATAAGAACATTTAATTATTATTTTTTTTTTTTATTATCCATTTTCTNTTTTAAATATAGAGAATATTGTTTTAGTGCTACCATTTTTATAACAAAATGGGATTTCTTTTGAGTTTAGTTTAGTTTAATTTCCAAAAAAAGATTCTCTTTGGAAACTAAACTAAACTTTAATTGATGCAAAGTATCAGTTACATCATTATTAATGAATTCTATATTCCAGCAAACAACTAATAAATTTCTTAAAATTTTATTAAAATTTATTTAAATTAAATGTTAATATTGAAAAATTAAATTTAAAATAATTTTATTTAAATTTTTATTAAGTATTATTTAATTCGAATTAAACATTTTAATTAAAAAAAATTAATTTGAAAGTAATTTTTAAAGCTGGATTACTTTTTTTTTAAATAATAGAATTATAATAATATTAAAAATAAGAGTTTGTTATTGTTATGCAGTGTTGTCCAAAAGTCAGCTTACCGAAATAACCTTACAAAATACATTTCGGTTAACTGACTTTTGGGCCACACTGTATTTATTTCTTAAGTTTTAAGAATTCAATAAAAAGATAATTTTACATTTTCACTTAGATTTATGAGTAAAATCTTTAGTGAAAAATTTTTATTATTATTTTATCATTTAAAATCTTTACGATTTCATTTATCTAATTTATTTATTTTTAATTCAAAATATGTAGAAGAAACATTTCTTAAATATATTTTTATATAAAAAATTAAATATTATATTCACTTTATTATAAAAATTAAGCACTTTTTTTTCGTTTAAAGATGGCTAAATTTAATATATATCAATATATATGTGTGTATATATTTTATATATATATGTAGTATATTTTGGTTAATTTAATCAAAAAATCTTCTAAAATAATTTCAAAATATACAACACTTTTCAAATGTATTGCTTACATACATAAAACTGTACAAACGAACATAAAATATGTGGATCTAAATGTTGATATAAGTTAGGCCCCCAACATCTTTTTTACTGTGTATCCGGGCATAGAATACACAAACAGAGCTAAAATGAGCACGAGCATGGCACCTATAAGTATTTTGATAATCATCCATTTATAATTGTGCCATATGATGTAACGGATTGACTTCAATGGATTCAAGAACCAAATAAATGACGAGTCTGGCCGACTAGAATTAAAATAAAAAAAGATCAATTGTTTTTAGTTATATACTATTATGATAATAATAACATGAATAACATAACTTTAATTGAAAAAATATATCGAAAACGTAAAAATAAATAAATTAAATAAATATTTTCATATGAATATAAGCAGTTCTCTGTCAAAAATATACGGTAGGATAAACAATTTTAAAGTTACGATGATCTTAACGAAGATTCAAGAGACTCCTCCTGCTTATTTTCCTTATTTGGTAAATAACTCCGCCCATTATGTTTCTTTAGCTAATAGCAGTTTACGTAATTATATCAGCAACCAATCAGTTTCAACAATATGTAAAAATTTTAAGATATTATATCTTCTGTATTAGTTAAATGACAGTCTATATTCATAAGAACATTTAATTATTATTTTTTTTTTTTATTATCCATTTTCTGTTATTTCCATAGTTTATAAATTAAAATATTTTATAAAATTTATAATTTCAGAGTTATCTTTGTAATTTTATTAAAAAATAATGAATTATTCCACAATTATTTCCCTATAAAGAATTTTAAAAATATATAATAAATCCCAAAAGTTAGTTAACCATTCTAAAAGATAATTTCTCTCTCATTAAAATACTTTGTCATACAATTTAGTATCGAGTAAACTGAAATAAATTACGGTTAACTAGGTTTTGGGCCACCTTGTGTAGAGAAAGAAAAATTCATTACAAATTATAATTATTTGTTTTTAAATATTATTTTAAAGTAAAAACTATTAAATTTACTGTGGTTTGTCTAATGGATCCGGTTCATTTCTTCCTAATCCAGCTGGATTTTTCTCAGCTTCTTCTTTTGTTAATAAATGAAGTTCTGCTTCTACTTTCCCCTGAAATTTTTCATTTTTATCTCGTTAAAATGTTAAATTTTATATAAAGAAATCTAAAAATATTATAAAATAATATTTAATAAATAATTTCATATTATTCTATAAATATTTTCTATGAGGTAGCAAGAAGAGTTACGTTAAGTATAGTTTTTAAAACTTCAAAGAAAAATTTATAAATTATAAAATATATATAAAACAAACCGTTAACTCCATTTCGTCATTTTCTTTCTTAACAAAAAATGGCCACCACCCCTTTATCCTCCTTTGTTTAAATAAAGAAACAACAGGAACAGTTCCATCCGATTTCAACATATCCAAAGTGCATAATTTTGAAGATTTGGCACCACGTGGGAAACGATTTAAGTCTAAAGTTATTGCTCCTAAATGAAAGAAAGTAGCTCAAAAATGTATTCCGAGAACCAATATTATAGACAGAAATAAAAATACGCTACCCAAAAAGTCATCAGCAGAAAAGTGATCCGCATCCCAAACTTGCAATTCTAATCTTGCTGGAATCTTACATTCTGTTTCATCCCAAGAAAAAAGGGATTCTTTGCGAGAGATTACTATCTTCTCTTCAGCAGGTAAATAATCAAAAGGATAAACAAACCTCCAATTGAAGTTACCTTCACCTGTAAGAGACCTGTAAATAATTTTATTAAAATGTATAGAATCTTTCATCATAACGACTCTTTTTATTTAATCATACCTATAGTGGATATCTGTGCATTGCGTGTCTTCTGGACCTTTCAGCCACCTGAAATATGTTTATAAAACATTACAAAGAAACAATTTAAACATGAAAACTGTAGTAAAAAATTGATTTAATTACCCTTTGACATAGATATCGCTCATTTTCTCACCCGTGAAGAATGCATCATCTTCCAGAACAACATCATCTGTATTCCATATTATAACGCGGAGTTCGTAACTAAAATTTTAAAAATTTATGTATAATATCTTAATAATATGTATCATTTCTAGTGAAATAATAAGAAAATGAAACATGGAAGGCAACGGAAAACCACCATGTTCTATTTCTTTTTTTCCAAGACTTGATGAACATTGAACGAAGTATAAATGAGATATGCACAAGTACAGATGGGACTCCTGGGTCTGTCCTTGTGCAGTATGCTACCAGAGAGAGATGCTGCGGACATAGTCTGGATTTCCTGGAAACGAGTGCTTCAAATGACGTGCCTGGATTAAAGCCGTCTGGAAGTCCTGGTGTCGATAAAGGAAAGACAATCAGAAAAGCAGCTCTTAAAGAAAGTCTAAGAGTGGGATGCTGGAATGTGAGGTCCCTTTATCAAACTGGAAAATTGGCCAATGTCATCAGAGAAATGAAGATTCTGGGAATATCGATTCTTGGTATTTCCGAGGTTAGATGGACAGGAAGAGGCGATATAAAAACAGAAGAAGGATTCAGATTCATATATTCAGGAGGAAAGGAACATGAACGAGGAGTTGGATTTATCCTTGATAGGAAAACATCATGTAAAATCGACGGATATTGGCAAATATCGGATAGAGTCATTGCCTTGAGGATCAAGATGAAACCAAGAGATATGTTGATTATCCAAACATACCTACCTACTACAGATCACACAGACGAAGAAGTAGAGGAAGTATATCAGCAAATAAACCAATGTCTTCAAGGAAAAGATAATAGAGATATTCTCCTAATAATGGGGGATATGAATGCAAAAGTTGGAAGAGGAAGAGAAGGAATTGTTATTGGCCCCTGGGGACTTGGAGAACGTAATGATAGAGGTGAAAGATTGATTGATTTCTGTAGGGAAAAGGACTTGACTGTGATGAACACATGGTTCAAACATCACGAAAGAAGACTTTATACGTGGAAAGCCCCAGGATCAAGGGGAATCGAAGTTAGAAATCAAATAGATTTTATTTTGATTAATCATAGATACAGGAACACAATTACAAATATAAAAACATATCCAGGGGCGGATTGTGGCAGCGACCACAACCTCTTGCTCTCCGTGATCCGAGTTAAATTGAAGCACATAAAAAGAAATAGAAATGATAAAAGAATGAGAATTGATGATTTGAAGATTAACAACATTAGGGAAAAATATGAGAGTATGACTAATAATAGACTTCAAAATTTAAATTTGGAAGGAAATGTGGAAGAACTTTGGGAGAATATGAAAGGGGAAATTAAAGAAAGTGCTTACCAGGTTTTGGGAGAGGAGAGAAGAAAAGCAAGAAGACCTTGGATTACGAAAGAAGTGTTGGAGAAAATGGATGAAAGGAGAAGATGGAAAAGCGCAAATACATTAGATGCTAAAGAAAAATATAGAACAATCGATAAACAAGTGAAAAGTATGGCAAGAAAAGCTAAGGAAGATTGGCTAGACAGAATCTGTCATGAATTAGAAGAACATGAAGTGTCTCAAGATCTGAGAAAGGTCTATCAAAACATTAATTTAATCTCAGGAAAAAAAAGAAGAGTAAAAATTGGGGCAATAAAGGATGAGAATGGAGAAATTTTAATGCAGAAGGAAAGGCAATTAGTAAGATGGAATGAATATTTGACAAAACTTTATAAAACAGAGGATAACATGGAATGTAAACTGGAAGAGGAATATGACGATGATGAAACCCCTAAATTTCTGGAGGATGAAGTTGAGGCAGCCTTGAAAAAATTGAAGAATAAGAAGGCACCTGGAATTGATGGCTTGCATGGAGAATTGCTTAAGTCAATGGGTTTTGAGGGAAGAAGGATTATAAGTCATGTTCTTAATAAAATTCTTGCAGAACAACAACTACCCACAGACTTTACTAATTTAATATTTATACCTATACCCAAGATAGCAGGAACACTGGAATGCGACAAACATAGAATAATAAGTTTAATAAGCCATATGTCAAAAGTTTTAACTAATACTATCTATAGAAGAATAGAACCGAAAATTGAAGCAGAACTAAATGATACACAATTTGGTTTTAGAAAGAACAAAGGAACTAGAGAGGCCATTACATTAATTAGGCTTATTGGAGAAAAAATGATTGAAAAAAACAGAGATCTTTATCTGTGCTTTGTGGACTATGAAAAGGCGTTTGACAATGTTAACCACACAATTTTATTTGAAATACTTCAAAAAATTGGAATAGATAAAGGGATAATTAAAATTATTCTCTTTTTATACAAAAATCAGAAAGCAATAATAAAAATTGATGAGAAAGAATCCAACTGGATAAGGGTGGAAAAAGGAGTGAGACAGGGATGCGGACTTTCACCACTGTTATTTAATATTTACAGTGAGTGGATGATGCGAGAAGCACTTGAGGATTTTAACGAAGGAGTGAAAATCAATGGATGCTTAATAAACAACATAAGATACGCTGACGACATAGTCCTGCTGAGTGAAAGTAAAGAGGGATTACAGAAAATTCTGAATCGACTGTTCAAAACTGGATTGGAGAAATTCCATATGAAAATAAATGAAAAGAAGACAAAAGTAATGAAGGTTTCAAAGAAGGAAGATATGGAGGAATTCCAGATCATTCTGGGAAATAAGGAACTTGAAAGGGTTAAAAAGTTTGAATACCTGGGAAGCTGGATAACAAGTGATAATAGATGTAAAATGGAAATTAAAAGCAGAATTAATAAAGCAAAAGCTGCCTTTTATCAGATTTATCATATATTAACAAACAGAGGCCTTAACATAAAACTGAAAATAAAAATCCTAAGGACAATGATCTGGAGTGTACTAACATACGGATGTGAGGCATGGACTCTTACGCATGAAATGATGGAAAGAATTAACTCATTTGAAATGTGGTGCTTGAGAAAGATGCAAAGAATAAGTTGGACGGAGAAAATAACAAATGAGGAAGTTTTGGACAGGCTGGGCTTGAGGAGAAGGTTGCTTATAAATATCCAACAAAGAAAGGTACGATATGCTGGACATTTGGCTAGAGGATCAGGAGGACAACTACTAAAGACGGTGATTGAGGGACTGGTGGAGGGGACAAGACCTAGAGGAAGACCTCGAAAGACTTGGAGAGATAACATCAAAGACTGGACTGGAAAGGATTTAAGAGAAGCCTGGAATAGAGAAACATAGAGAGGAATAGTTCATCAAATGCAACCCTCTGTAGAGAGGATGCCACTGGATAGATAGAATAAGAAAATCATACATTTCAATAACAGAACGTAAGATTGTAGCTTACTATATCTAACTCTAAGGTAATTCAAAAGTTTCTATACAAAACACAGACCGTCTGAAGAAACCTTTGTCATGTGTGTGTGTACACATATCAGACACGTTAACATGCACTTAAACATGCATTCAGTTAAGTATTGTTTATATATATATATACATATTGTATGTTGTGGGTTATATGTGACTATATAATAAAGTGTAGCTTCTGCCTTTGCTTATATACAGTACAGTGATTTCTGAATCGCTCTGTACAAAGAATTTCATTAAAGATAAGGCAATCCAACACATTAGCGATCTTCAAGATGTTCCTGCTGAGAGAATTTTCAATCGGAAACTGGCTCTTACTGAAGTGTTAAATACGTGAAGAAAACCTTGAAATTTCACGTAGCCAGCCCGTTAGTAAAGTGTAAACCCACGACCAAACTACCAGTGTTTAGTGGTATTATCTACTCAGCCACTGCTGAGAACTACAATGTATAAGAATTCATTAACCATTCTGTATGAATTAATTGTAAAATATGAAATATATATATTATGTAAAATATTAATTTTTACCTTTTAGGTTTTCTTGGAGAAATATCTGTTGGTAATTTCGGTAATGGCATATCCATAGGAAACATATCTACCCACATTTCTAACTTTCCCTAAATGAATGAAGTAGAAGAGATAAATAATATATGTAAATTTATTGGTTTCAACATTTAGTTGAAAATAATATCTACATACATTATTTAATATTATTTCTAGATTATTTAGATAGATATTATTTAATATAGATGTCTGTTAACCTGTTCAATTCCTGGTTTATCTGGATGATAGAGAGGTCTGGTTTCTACATGTTCCGGTACTAATTTACAACCCACATAAGGTATTTCGTGCCAACGATGTAAAATTGCCAATGCTAAATATTCTTCATTTAATTTTGTACCTAAAATAAGAGTAACAATTATTTATATTTTCTTCGATTAGAATTATTTGTTAAAAATAAATAATTTTATGGCTAAAAATATATTTAAAAGTTCTTAAGGTAATTAATATAAGTCGTTAAATATAATTGAAACAACACTAAAAAGATTTCAACGAAATTAAGTGATGATTGGTTAAGGGAAAATATAGGCGTAATCGATAATCTATTCTTCAACCAATCATCTTTATTAAATTCATATCCTAATCTAACGTCATTGAAATTTATTTGGCGCGCTATCTTTTATATTAAGCAGAGGACTACTTACATTTTATGCTTAATTTAAGAAAATGATTTGCTCAAATATATTTTTAAAATAATGTTTTTAATTTTTATTTTCTTGTATTTCAAAAATATAATTCTAACTTAAAATAACTGCAATTCGCACTTAAATTTTACATAAAAGATATCTAACAAAATAAAAAAATTCAATATTTTTTATAATTACATAAATATTAATAAATAAATATTGTCCAAGTAGACAGTATATACACAGAAATGTAAAAGAGTAAGGCACAGAGGTAAGAAGTATTAATAAATAAATTTAAGAAAAATACTTAATTTATAATAAATTCTTAGTAAATTGTTAAAATATTGAATTTAGAATACTAAACTGACCTTCTTCTTCATATTCAGATTGAAAATTAAATACTTTGGTACCAATTCGGACTCGATTGTACATAAAAACTGGCCCTTCAAGTTTATTATCTTTACATAATTTGGCAAGAATCTGTACAGGTTTCATTGGATCTCTCCATTGACTCGGCCCAGAACTATAAATAATCATGTTTGATTATACAGATTCAGGTTGAAATGATTTAAATAAAATTAAATAAATTACGTTTCATATTTTTGAGCAATACCACACGTTGCCCTATGTTTACTATAGAATCTATTCTCTAAATCCAGTTTAGTTTCTCCGATGAGATCATCACTTCCAAGAAGATCCCAATCAAATATCTGAACTGTGAGCAAGGAATCTTGTGGAAAAGTTGCTTCAAATTCGAAACATCTACATTAAAAAAATATATTCCCTGAGTTAATTTCAGTTTTTACTGAAATTTCAACGTCTTTTCAATAAGAACATCAAAACTAACTTTCCAAAAACTGGATTTAACTGCTTGGAAATGTAATTTTCTTTGTCACTTGTGCGTTTATTGCCTAAATTGATAACTATATATGGATCAGCTTTACCATTCAGATCGGCTGGATGCAAGTCTGTTGCCTTAACTATATAAATTCGGATTAAGACGTGGATAGGATCATTACTGGGAATGCCATGGAACATTCCATTTTGAAGTTCAGCACCAGGAACTTCTTGTAAAGATTTCGGTAGAGGGTATTTGTATACTTGCAAAGAGCCCTTAAATCAATTAAAATGTATAAGTTTTACTGTTTTTACTCACAATAAAACGAAAAATTAACTAAATTTACAGATTCATTTACCTTAAATATTCCAACGATTCTGTTTTGGTCTTCAAGTTCATCTCCCGTTCGTTTGCCACGGAATAACTCAAAGGAGTGGAGCCATTCTTTAAAGCCATTAAAATCCGTAACGCTCTCTAACTCGCAAGGATAAATCTATAGGAAAATATTAAAATATCTACACATAACCCAGATTGATCAATTCAAAAAATATTTACCTTTATTTGTGATTCATTCATTGCTTCTTTTCTCTGTGATTTTGGTGATAATCTAGCAGCTAATCGGACGGCGGTAGAAGTTCCTTTAAAGGTTCTCCTCTTCCTCTCAGCTTCAGGAAGATGCTGATATTCTAACCTCTGGAGCTCCTTCTCCATCTTTTTTGTATCCTTTGCACTTAGTTGATCAGGATCAACTGAATTAAAAGAAATAAACAAGAAAGTATTTGCACTTTAATGCTCTATTTTCACGAATTCATCTCAAAGTTTATAAAATAAAAAACTAAAACAATAAATTAAATCTACCATCTTAATATTTAAATGAAATTTATTTTCTGTATACAAATATTAACTGTTTAGATGGATAAATGAAAGTTTAAAATGTGATTTACTCATAAATTATAAAAGGAAAATAGCTTCAAACTTACCCTCTCCATTGCATTGCACTTCCCCATTCATGGTTACTGAAGGTTGTGGGCTTACGCAGTTTGTATTATTTTGATTTTCTGTACCGTCTTTGCTGTCCTAAATAACATTATGCTTCAATTAAACCACTATTTTTAATTATTCTTATATACACTGTATATATAAATATATTCTTTGACCTTTATCATAGTTTCGTAGGATGCGAAATATCCACTCCACCAATCTTTGTTACTTTCATCATCTGACAAAGCTTCTTCTGCTTGTTGCTTCTTCTTTTGTCTGTTTGCTTCACTTTTTAGTTCCTTTTTACTCTTTTTCATTTGCTTAAATATAATTTAACACATATTTTTATTTACTTTTCATTAATTTCTACGTTTGTTTTCTGTAAAAAATACTCACTCCTTCAATTGTTAAATTAATTTCTTTCATGTTAATTGCGTGAGTATCTGCATCAATCTGTATGACCGTTTCTTCAACAGGAACTGATAGAATATTGCGGTTGTTAAAGTCTAAATAACAAATTTAATATGATTATAATTATTTAAATCAAGAAAATAATTGTAAAATACAAGAAAATTGCTATGTTTACTGTATGTTTGCCTCGAAGAGTCTTGTTCCTTTTTAACAATAGGTCTATACATGAATTTCTGCAAAGCACTAATAACATGAGTTCCTACAAGTGTGAATCTACCAAAACTGCGACAGTCCATAACCCGAATGGTTAGAGGAGGGCAATACATTTCCTGATCAGGTAATTCCTATAAAAATAAAAATAGCAACAATTCAAAATATAATTTTTTCTTAATAACATAATATGTAAATTCTTTAATGTTACACATCTTACCACATCAAAATGCTTGACCATAACAGAGAAATTTGGATTTTTCTTGCAATTTAAGATAACTGATGATTGCAAAACGTGTCCTGCACATTCAATATCTACTCTAGGACGATCCACTGTCATCAAGTGAACCCTTTTTAACTCTCGAAGACCCCAAAACAGCACCTGAAACAACCTTTCATTTTACTCTTCTATTTACTTTTTCCACTTACACAAATCTCGTTTATAACCCATTTTATTCAATTAAAATAGCTAAAATCTGGCAATTGTTTAATAGAAACATGGATTTAATTGCTTTATAATATATTTATACGCGTGTATAAACCCCAAAAGAAATAAAAACTTTAATTTTTTATGTAATAAAATTAAAATTTTAATATTTATGACTCATAAAAAAGACATTTCTATGTAAAAAAAACTGGACTTACTTCAATTCTATATTTAGATAAAGTGGGCCTTATCCCTTTAGGAACAGGTAAAACTGGTCCTCTATCCGATCTCCACAAATTTTCTTTAGGTTGAGGTAATTCTGGAATCTCTCCCTTTTCTTCACATTCAGATACCTAGAAATTAATGTACACATTGTAAATTACATTTTTTAAATATTTTTGGTTTTAATTAAGTTATAGAATACCTGTAACAATTCGAAAGTAGCCAATAATTCTCCCGCCTGTTCTGATCCTCGATATATATCGTACCATTCCAAAATAGGTGGGAAATCAGGCCGACTGTACGGTTCATCCTCGAATTTCACGTGTGGTCTTGCTACGGTTCTACCAATAAATTCAGATTTTCCCTGAAATTTAAACGAGAAAATGTTATTAGAGGTATCAGGAAAGTACAACACTCGTACACTCAACAAAACTATGTTGAAGCAGCGCATAAGATTATCAGGAAAGTAAGATGCTCGCAAATTCAATAAGACTAGGTTAAATCAATGCATAAGGTTATCAAATAAAATAACTTTAATAAAATACTCGACATATTTGCATTATTAATTAAAGGAACAAGAAATAAACAAAAGAATGGTATAAAATTTTAAAGTGTACCGTACATTACTTATATAAGATATATGTAAGATATTGTAGAATAAATTGATATGAATATAGATAATCTTCTGTGATACATATAATATTAAACAACAATTAATTTAAAAATAAAAATAAGTGAAGATTATATAAATTTTGGTCAAGTTTTCAAATTATATCTTCAACCAATTATTGCAGACGAGAGAACAAAATGAACCAATCGCCGTTAAGTTAACCATATATTTAACCAATTATACTTAATCAGATTTAAATTGACATCGTATGTATATCGCAACGGCCGACATATGTTTATAATTAAATTAATTTTGCTGTTCTTTATTCATTTTATATGGTAAAGTCTATATAGATTCTTATATAGATAAGAATTATTAGAAAAGATATTTTTTTATTTTTCTAAAGAGAAAGTACTCTTTTTTCTCATATTTAAAACAATAAAAAAGTACAATTTTTGGTAGATATATACCACTTTATCCTGATCGAAAATCTCAACAACAATAACAGGTGGATCACTCTTGATGTCCTCTTTACTTCCATTGACTATAACTTCGGGAAAGAGCAACATTTCATCCCAAGTAGGGCTAAGAGTTTCATCTATCACCTACGACGAATAATTCCAAATTTATAAGTTGCAAAATAAAATAATTTACAATAGCAAAAAAAATAATTTTCGAGAAGTTTACCTGAGTTGTTTGACTTTGATCTGAGAAAATGACTCTGGCAAATGGATCAGATAAACCAGATGAATCAGAACCAATTAAAGATCTTGCTTGATACATATGGGCTCTCAGTTGAAAATGTTGCTTCTCTGATTAAAATTTATATAATAAATATTTTCTTTAATATTTTTACATTTTTCAAATAATAATAATAATTTAAATTTATATAAAATTTACTTGCCGGAATAATGTAATATAGTAGGAGGTGATGCCTGTGGTTTGTCGGCGTTTTTAACATCACTAGTTACTTCGTATCCTTTAGGCAATCCTTTCAAGTAATGCTTCTTATGTTTAGTTAAACTTAACCACATATATACTTGCAATTTGGCTTGAACCGCCCACCCACCCGGGCCTGAACCTTTCTTTCCTGGCAACTAAAAGTAATTTTGTATCAATTACTAATCATCATAAATTAATATAATGCTACAAATTTGCATACCTTAAGGAATAAAGTTTGAGTTTTTCCACAAAATTTGCCACTTTCTTCTTCTACAATCGAGAACATCAGCTCTCGACCTGGTATCCTCTGATATGCAACCCTTTTCCCACCGCTTATCATCCAAACGAATATATCTGGAAGAGCGTGTTGAGGCTGAAAATATGGTAATTTTTTTTAAAATTTTAATTTAATGTGTACAAAAATTCGTTAAAATTTAAAAAATTCTTAAATTATACGTACATCTTCGACTAAATCTTTTAATTTTTGGAGAATATTCTGAGTACTTCTAAGCTTTTCTTTTAAGGTATTTTTGTTAACTAATGGCTTCATAGCCCTTACCATAGTTGCTATATGATCCTAAATTTAACAATATTGTATATTTTTTTTCGTTTTAAATAATTCATTTTAATTATTAAATTTTATATATTTACCAATTCTCTTTGACAGAGTTTCATTCTCTCTTTGTCTAACTTGGTTTTTCCTGAAGCACTTCCACCTGCTCCTTTAGCAACCGTTAAATAACGACTACAGAATTAAAAAAAGTTCATCATTCTGAGTATTGTTTTAAAGCATTTTCATGACGAAATACCACACAGCATGAAGGGAGGGGAATTAGAAAATGGCTCGAAACATACGCATTTAATGGACGGTACAAATAAAGCTTATCACATTGTTTTACAAATCATATGACATATCGCTAGTAACTTGTGTGCATATGGTATAGTTAAGTTAAACCACCGAATTTCATTAAATTTACAGTTTCATATAGTTTTAATTACCTGCAACCCGATGATAATTCTTCTAGAACACCCCTTAATCTTCTGTCAGCGTGGGATTTTTCTAACCTTATCATTTCTTGTACATCAGAAAGACCTTCATCCTTGAAATAACATCATTATAATTTATTTTCTTTCTTACAATAGTGAAGAATTTTAAAAGTTACTTACTAATTTTTCGGCAATTTTACCAATTATATTTGAATTATACATCCTTCTTCTATGATCGTGCCATACACTTCGAACCCAAAAACATGGTTTATCATCTCCGTACGGTAAGCAGTAATAATACCTAACACACAGACACATATATGTATATTAAACAAACATTATTAAATGAAAAAAAATCCATTTAAAATATTTAATTTAATGCTGGTTAGAGTCGGATTTGCACATAAACTAAACAAAATTTAAAAACTGAAATATGTGTTACCTATCATTAGAGTATGGTTTAATGGGTGGAGTTGTAGAATGGCAAGCATTGTCTCCGTATATAGAATGTGTAGATTCGGGTCCTGAATCACTTTCAGAATCACTTCCTGAATCGTCTCCCCTAGACGTCCATCTTTGACCATCCAGAACATTACCTGCATTTCCTGGAATTACATATAAGTGAATATGTATCAGATATTGAAGTATAATGCCTTATAACTACTTTGTTATTCTATGAAATTCAACATCCTGAGAAAATGCCGAAAATGTAAGGCACGACTAGCAATATACCTTTTCTATTGATAAAATTCTAACAGGATTCATTAATTTTCAACATCAGTATCAAGAGGAAAGCCACGGACGAAATGGAGAAAGGAACAATAGAGAAAGGAATAGGCTGGGAGCAAAAGGAGACAAGGATTAATTAACATTAATAAATTACTACTAAGAAGAAATACAAGAAAGAGGCTACAGGAAGACGTAATGCAAGAAGGAGAGAGTAATAGAAGAAGATGAAGGTGCTTCACCGAGTTAAATCAGAAGCAGAAGAAGGAAGATTAAAAATAATGAGTAAAGAGAATGTAATGAAATAGAAGACACAACCAGAAAAGAAATCAACTATTTAGACATTACGATAAGAAGATTAAAACAAAGTTTAGAATTTAGAACATTTAGAAAGCCTTGATTGAGTCAGATAACAATACTATACCAGTCCAACGTACCACTTCACGTCAAATATAACATATTTAAAATGGAATATTCTAAGATAAAAAACAGGACAAGTCAAGAAATACATATATCCGCAGATTTAGCCGAATTAAAAAAGAACTTTCTCCTGGCAGGCTACCCACAAAGACTAGTGAAAAAATGGGAACTTAAGATAAATAATCCTAAAACACAACAGGATAATAAAAAAACAAATAGCATTAAGTATATTGGATTTCCATATATTAAAGGATTACACGAACAAATTGATAATGAAATAAGCAATATGCACTTTAAGTTAGCACCGTCATACCAAAAAAATGTATACAAGATTAAAACAGTTCGAAAATGAGAAAAAACAACAACCACCAACAGAAACTAAGAATGTCGTGTATAAAATTCATTGTACTTGTAGCAATAATAAATATTATATAGGAGAAACAAAAAGGAAATTAAAAACTAAATTAAAAGAACATATAGCGGATCTGAAATACAATAGACTAAATTCTGCCTTCCATGATCATTGCACCATGAATGATTGTACTGTACGCTTAACTGGGGGAACGAAAAAAGGGGGAGGAGAGGTCATCCCAATGAGTTTGTAAAAAGAGGGAATTGCATGATTTTGATGAAAGACAAATATGTCAATTTTAGTATTGTTGTAAAATTAATTGTAAATGTATAAGAAAAATTTGAAATTGTTTAAATTTTATAACAGTGAAAAACAGATAATTAGGTACGTATTTCATTGTATTGTTATCATGTAAATGTATAAGAGAAAATCCATATAAAAAAGGTTTTTAAAATATTTTAGATAATACGAAACCGTATGTTTCTTAAAATAAAGAGTGTTAAGGGCCAAGAAGTTTTTGTAATTCCATAACAACAAGTAAACATAGGCGATGGAAATTTGTGGTTTTAATATCTTGATAACCTGTAAATTAAAAAGGTGNCTTTTGGCATCATAATTATATTAAGTAATAATATTTTAAAATTATCTTATCTCAATATATGAAATCATTCATCAAATGTATTAAAATAAAAAAAACGAGGATATCTGATTCAAATTTTTCATCTGAAATTATCTTTTTAAATCTTTGTTAGTAAATTTTAATGTGCAAATTCATCCCCTTTTAACATTAAGTAGACGCTTTCAGTACTTAAGATTTATTGAGTGGATGAAGCAACCCAAAAAACATGGGCGATATGCCAAGAGGGAAGTGCTTTCTATAGGATGCTGGCCCCTATTTAGATGTTAGACGTGACAAACTAATTAGTAAGGCGTGAACCCGCGACCAATATTCGGTGGTTTTATCTAGTGGATGTACTGTACAGTACATACAATACTTCTTAGGTCTTTCAATCCTTTAGCCCCTATAGAGAAATTCAACGAACACTTTCAACTCTTTTTGTGATCGGGATGGATACTTTCAATCTCTTTTCTACAGAAATTTATATCAAATAACTTTTAAATCTTAAATATAATATGTAAATAAGTGCATGTATGTGTATATCAGAGAAACTTTGACATAAAATTCCAAGGCAAACATTTCACATTAACTAAAATCTGTAAGCATATGTTTGCTTATTTATTCTTTCAAATTCATCAATAAATAAAGAAAGAAAGATGTGTAATTCTGCTTTAGTTCGTTAACTCTTTAAGTAAAATTATTATATTAATTGAATTTAATGATAAAGATTTACTAATAATTAAAATCATAGAAAATATGGCCTTGAGGTAATTCGACAAATGTAGCTTATAATAGTGGAAATAAATTGTTTATTTTAACAGGATTAAAACAATTAATTATTAATTATATTTCTCTAATTCCTTACACACTAATACATATAATGTCAGCTGGTTTTGATAGCTGCCAATTTTTAATAAACATTAATTAATTGTTTAAGTTTCTAGAAGTTTCATACTGGCAAATTATCATGGAGTATAAGATGATAAATCTAAAGTTTATAGGTAAATCTTTTATATATTTTTCAATAGTTTATATTATTATTTTAGACTAATATTTAATATTTAATTTTCCAAACTTTGTATGCATTTGTTTCTTAAATACTCTTTAAGAGAAAGAATCTTTTCATCTTAATCTTCTTCATCCTACTCTTAATGCGATTATTTGAAGTTCGTTTGAAGAAACTATTATTTTGTATGATATTTACTTATTTATAAAGAATTATAAATATAATTATTATTATATTTTACTTATAACAAATTTATAAACATATAATTTTTCTTAAATAGTAAGACAAAGCATCCTTCTATATTCATTCTCATCCTAAACTCATTGCGATTCTTTCAGGTTCGCTTGGACAATTCATCATTTATTTTTAAGACTTTATGACAAAATTGTTACAAAATTTATCGATTTTAATGTATCTATTTGAATTGTTTTTATATATTAATTAATACCTCTATAGAAATGTTGAGAATATAAACATTTTCCATTGATTTTCTAGGGATTATACTCTACAAAGTTTGAAAGTTTTACTGAAATAAGAATAAAATTGTTTTGTCTTTAAATATAAATCTTTAAATTAATGTATTTCAAGTTAAATCATGACATTTTAGTATATTTTGAGTATTTAAGCTTCAATTTTATCCTTTATATGAGATTTCAATGTCAAGATATTTGTAGAAAATTGAAAATAATGTCTGACATGATTACGCATCACATTTAAGAATTTATAAGTTCTTAAAATTATGAATTCTAGCTATTTTTATCTTTTATTTATATATTTATTAAAGATTAAATATGTGTTGTGTAACTACAATAGAATAAATTTTTAAATGTATACACTTTTATATATCTCACTATTAAAAAGATTATTAATTATATTTAATTTTATCAATAAATTAATAATCTCTGATATAAATATACCTCAGATATTGGCATGGCCATTTCCACTTCTACTTCAGAGGGTGCAGATTCAATAGAATCTAATATTTCTGTTTTGACAGCGACTAATAGTCTACCTCGATACATCACTCCTTGTCCAAGTCCATCGTTAAGTGGAGTGTGCTCGTCAAACAAACTGTAGTCTCGAGTAGACCCGTATAAATATATATAAGAAGGACCAAAAGTTGGTAGAAATCCTATAATAGAGGTAAAAGAAAATCATATTAAAATATTAATCTTCAATATTTCATATAAAATATGGACATCTTGTGGCTTCTTTTCGTATACAGTATAACAAGATATGGATTAGTATTGGAAGATTAAGATTAAACTTTCAGATAGTGTAAAATAATTTGGACCTTTTATATCACAAAGAGATTCAAACCATCTTGAAAACATAGTGATATTACTCGACATCATAAAAGTTGCAAATTAGCTTTGATCTCTATATTTTCCAGTAAAAATTTCTTACGTTTTCAAGATGATTTCGATCTAATCATTCAAACAATCCAAACCATCCATAATCTTTTGATTCTTTAGTTAAACTTCCTTAATGTTTATGATATCCCTTAGTACCACAAGACAGCCAAACCATCTATATACTATAACAGGGAATGGCTCTAGAAAATTATAAAGATAAGATTGAAAACCAATATGTTCTGTTGTATACGTTTCTCAATATAGATCCATATCCCCTGTAAATAAATAAGTTAAACAACCCACCAGTTAAAAATACTAATCTAAGAGACATACCTTTTTCTCCTTCGTTGGAAATTTTAGATAGCTCTAAGAAGTGAGTACCTATAACAGCATCGTTAACTGGATCGTTATCTCTCATCTGTAACTTAATTCGTTGGCATAGAGGAGGAAACATTTCCGTGAATACAATTTGTTCGTTCCAAATTGGGGAGCAGTTATTCTTTCTTACGCTTGTCTTACCCTAAAGAAATTTGCATATTGGGTACACTTTTACCATCAGCATTCTTTTAAAATAGAAAACTTACAGTAAGTCCAGCGAAAGACACTTGCACGTATGGATCGACTAAATCTCTAGATTCTCCAGTGAAAGCTTTCTTAACGTTAGCCATGATGCCAGCATTCATACGAGGAAGTCCATCAGCTCGATATATCTTTACTATATATCGAGCATGCTGTCTTTCGGCAGGTACACCATCAGGTAAGAGCAAGTTTCTAGCCATTAGAATAATTGGGAAAACTGTTAAAACAATCTTACAGATGAGTTATTCAACTTTATATACTTACGCTTCGATATCGTCTCCATCTTTGTCACTCTTCGGAGGTGGCTGTAAAGTAAGATAACAATAAAAATTAACGATTTAACTGTAATTATAATGTTTGAACAACGAAATAGTATTGATACTTACTTTTACTGTATCGCCCTTGCCGACAACAGAAATATCACATTTCAAGTAGCCTTTAGGACCCGCACTAACGTCATCTGGATCTGTGAGCAATGCCCATTTGTGGTAAAATTGATGATCTGTAAAAGAATTATCAATGCTCAAGTTAAATTTTTGAATTTTTTAAAATCTTTTATTTAAATTTCTATGATGGAACTATTCATATTCTTATTCTTCAGTAAAATAAAATACAGGGAATATTTTTTTGTTGCAAGAAGAAATTTATCTTTCTTGTCTTTATTGATCTTCTTTTGATGAAGTAGCGTGTCAAGCAACGCTTGAACTTACACAATATGAGGTTATCTATAACTGTAATTCTTTATAACGGCATCGATCAAGTTAAATAATGTTCTTCTAGTTTGCTTTTTTTTTTTTTGCAATAAAAGCACTTTAATTTCTTTTTTACGAGAAGAAGTTTTCTGCATCCTGTAATTTCCTGGTGTTATTAAATTTACATTATTATTTGCTAATTAAATATTAATTTAAAGCGATTTATGTGTTTATTTTTTTTTAAATTTGAATAGAAAAGTTTAACGAACATATAAACGTGAATTGTATTTGTTACAAGGAAATAGTTTATTTTATACTCAAAAGATGGCGCCTAGTGTTTTCTTCAATAAAAAATACTTTAATATTTAAAATTTTGAAGAAATATATGTTAAATATCACTAAAATTTATATAATTTAATGGTGTTAAGTATTAATTAATTCTAAATGATGAAAAGTATTACGAATTAATTCTTACTTGGGAAATAATTTTACGGTTGGACTTAAAACGACAATACTCATTTTACAATTAGTTTTTAAATAAAAATAATGAAAAATATAGCCGAAAAAAATGTTTATTTATTTCAATAATTTTTAGGATTTTTCTAATATAACAATATTAATATGCTTAATTAAAAGATGCTCAAATGGTTGATACAATAAAGGCACTGACCTAACTCTTCTGTACAGTCCAGACTCGAATCAGGATAGAATAGAATCGGATCAGAATAAAGCCCCATTCATCACCATTCCAAACATTATTGTGAGTGTGGTCAAAATGATATACCTATTATAATTTTGGTCCACCAGTGGCCGAGTAGATATAACTACTGAACACTGGTGGATTCGCACCTTTCTAACAGGCTGGCAATGTGGAGTTTTCCGGATTTTTTTCAATTTTGTAATACCTAAATATGGGCCAGTTTCCTATAAAAGTTCTCCTGGTAGGCATCCCCCTCGGAAAATCGCCGAGGGGGATACCTACCAGGAGAACTTTTATGGTCATAATGAGTTTTTGAAAGATTTTTTAAAACAGTTCCATAAATAATATTATGAAAAAATATTCTAAAAATTTGATTTCTTTTTAAATATTCGAATATATATGCAAAAAATAACTTTTATGCTATTAATATTCCTACCTGGCTGACCGAAAACAGTACCGACATCGAGTTTAAAGCTTCCGATACTTTTGCCAGATCGAATTATATTTCTGGAATGTAAAACCTAAAAAAAAGAGTCAAAAAGGCATTTTTAATAGAAATTAATTAAAATTATATATAATTGTTGTTACTTACAGTAAGAGTGATAATTTTATCCAGAAGCATTGCGGGCGCCATATGGAAATCGAAGACAAAATACTGAAAAAAAAAAATTTGAATAATGTTTAAAATTATGATAAAAAAGAATTTACATTAAATCTCATCCATCGATCACATTTTAAATTCAACAGTTGGAGTGACTTATAATGAAATATTCGATTGAAATGCGACAGCTGGCAAGTTATTGACAGTTACCCTTTCTATAACTTACTAACTGATTTCTTTCGAAAGAATTGAACTGGAAGCTTATTGGAAAGCTGGTAAAAAATTACAATAATCAGCTTTTCGAGTACAAAAATGACTCTTTATGTCTACTTAGAAGTCAAATGATTTGATTTGGACATTGACAAAGAGCGAGGCAAATAGCATAAAAGAAAATGTTAAGGATAATGAATAGAATAAAGAAATGTTGCAATAAAACTGAACAGAATGGTGTACAGAATTACAAAGAAAATATTTATAGTAGTAAAGGTCTTCTGATATGAATGGGGATTGAAAGGTGTAACAAGAAGACATCATAAACAGTAAATAAAATGTAGCAGAACAAAGAAAAGATCAAGAGAATAAATGGAGAAATCGAATTAAAAAGGACTTGGATTTGGAAGATGGTCTAAAGATTGTTAGAAGATAACAAGGATGAAACTCTTAAGTTAATCTAATAAAGTGTTGAAACAGCAGGAAGATGAAGATGATGATGATGGTGGTGGTAGTGATAAAAATGATTTTTGTCCAATTTTTGGAACATATTTGGTGGAAACTAAGAGTAGAATATTCATCCTTGCTGCTGTACATTTTATGTAAATTATTTTATGTAAAAGAATACAAAATTAAATATTGTATCTATTTCATTTAGGATTTATTGCAACAATACTCTGATATTACATCCCGTAGATGTTCAGATATGTAATTAATTAATAGTGCTACAAGATAATATTATATTCTGCAAACAGATAACGTAAAGTGCAAAAAGTACTATACTTTTTAACAAATGAAATCAGTTTTAAAAAATTTTAATTTGATTAAATAAAGCAAACTTGAAATAATTTTAAAATCTTTATTCCTTATAGCATTTACTTTTAATAGGATATTTCTCAAAATATAATCTCTTAATGGGGTTTGTAAAGTACTAAAAAGATACTTAAAGTAAATTTACCTCGTTGTAGTAAGGACAATTAGTAGACTCCTTAACACTCGTATACTTTTTTTGATCCCCAACTTGGACACATACAACTGGATCCATGTTTAATCCAGCTAAATGTCTTGCTTCGATTATTGTGATACAAACCTAAATCAAAATATTTTATATTTGAATTATGAGAATAGAAATATTTTTCTTTGTATATTTTGAATCAAACCTGAAAATCTTGGGCTTTCAATGCAACAGGAGATACATCCTGACTAGGTTTAGGTCTGCAAAATGTTTGTAAAATTATAATAACTTACATATTTGTACAAATATACAAAATTAATATATCTGAAATTACTTCTTTACAAGTACAGGTGTTGTTATAGAATAAGGAACTGTTTCAGCACTACTTTCTTCATAAAGTCTTTGTATAGTTTCAGATTCCATTCCCGTGTTAACTACAAAATTCGAATCACTATATTTTCTTGTTAGTGTTTGAGTCGATCCTACCAATTAAACAATTTTATAAATTAATTAATAATAAATTTATAATCTAAAATTATTGAAATTTTACTTATAAATACGTAAAATGAGTTATTATTAAGTGAATTAATTTTAGAAATGAAAATTACGACAAGATTTGATACAATATACTTCAGCAAACATAATTCGTCTTTCTCGTAACATTGTAGATACAATCGTAAAAATTTTATTAAAATTAGTTCTTGATTAACGATAATTGGATGTATGAGTTGACGTAAGCAACTCTCACATCCAATAGTCGTTTCTCGTATTTATTTTGAATTTCCTCAACCAATCACGATTAAAATATAACTTCCACATTCATCAGAGAGAACTATTTATATTTTTATGAGTTTTTTGTAGTTATTTTCTCATAAATTATAATTAACTAAAAAATTTATCTTTTTTTTCTTTAAAAATTAAGATCATTCAAATGGTTGTTAGTTTATAAAAACTAAATTATCCAAAACTTGGGCATATATTTAAATATTCATGCAGTATTTCAGAGATTTTAGATCCTCAACGAATGCAGTTTATATAGAAATATTCAGAATAACGCAAATTTTTTGCTTTGAAGTAGAAACGCTTGTTTTAGTTATGATTGCTGCCTTGGACTGAACTGTTGGATTTAGGATTAAGATTTAAATTGGCCATGAAATCAGAACTGGGAATGTGTCATGTGCTATCAAGGGGAAGGTGACTGATACAAAGAGTGAGAAGCGCAGAGCCAGAAACAAGCTGAAAGGAAGACTCGATATGCCCTCTAGCAGTAGTAATAAATGTAACTAAAATTTGCATAAGATGTTTATACTTCAAAATAAAAAATCTCGCGTTATTTTGATTTTCAAAAATTGCATGTATTTAGGGCTAAAATTCACTGAAATACAGATCTTTAAAGTTAAATCACGCGGTGTGTATATAATTGTAAATATATTTTTTGATTATATATTCTTTCTTTTCTGTAATTATTAATTTAGAATACAATACCATATTCCAAATGATCAGACTCTCTGAGCGAAGTTCGTTCATCGTCTTCTACAGGAGGTCTTTGTTTACCTAGCCTCATCATACTAGCTATACTCTTCATTGTAGCCGGCAGCGATCTGAAAGACAAACAAACAATTGCTGTAGTAAAATATACAAAAATCTTGTCGCTTTCTTTGGGCTATTTATAAATATTCTTCTGGTAATACAAATATCACGCGAAAAATATTTATTTTCTCGATGTTACTAGCGTAAATTAAGATATCAACGTTTTGTCTCTAGCTAAAAATACAGGATATTAAACAAGTAGTTTGAAGAAACTGCATACAGAGAAGTTATGAACTTTAACCTTTATCTTGTATGCTAGTCTCTGATATTTAACTATTCATACTGAAGATTATAAGACATAATTATTTAATACATTTTACTCATTTGCGTTTCTTCATCTAGTAATTGAAAAATATAAATATTGAGTTTAAGAAAATATTGTTTTACAGCAGCCATCTTAGAAATGGATAATTTATTCAAATTATTTAATAATATTCTTTTGTCCTTGTGCTTATAAATAGTTTTGATTAGCAATGTTCTGTGGAAAGGGAGATAAATCATTCTGCCCCTAACGTAACATACGATTTCAGTTTATCCTTTTTTCATCAATTTATTTACATTTATTTTAATTAAATATATTCATTTTATTTATTTAAATATCTTTCTTCGAAGTCCAGAAGTTTAGCACGCGTGAACGTTTTTAAAGATAAATATGGCATGTGGACTTAAAAAGATTTGTCATTTCTGTTCTATGTCCTTATGTAATATCTCATAAAGCCAGAGATTTGGTGAAAGTATACAAATTATTCTTTACCTTTTCCTATCAGGTGATCTAGGAGAAGTCAAACTAGCCAGAGAACCCTGTCTAGAAAGCTCAGATTCAGCTCTTTGACTTAAACTTCGTTCTAAATTTGCTATATTCTGTTCTAGATCGATAAGAACTTGTTGATCATCATCAAAACTTCCATAATTGAAACTAGGAGCTTGCCAGTCACCGACAGAACCATCAGGAGCAGAATAACTGACTTCAAAAGTCAAAGAAACCTAAAGAAAAAAAAATTTGTGTTAAAATATTCTGTAGATTTATACGATATATTCTTTTCTAAATGAAAATACCCCAGTTGGCATATTGTTGATGTCGACCAAAGTATCCGTAACGCGTAAGAAGCCATCCTCTACTAATTGCTGAAGGACTAATCCATAACTACCTATCAACCTGAGTGAAATAAATAAATTTTTTAAAAAATCAATATAAATTAATAGAATAATATTTTTAATACAAAAAATACCAACAATAAAACACTTACTTATTGCTGAAGTATTTGTTATAATTGTAAAGTTGGATTTCCAAACTTTCATGATTTTCCACGGGTCTTCCAACGGGCCATTCGAATATCTTTAAAATATTGGAGAAAATAAAAATAATAAATATAAATTATTAATAATTTCCCTTTTTTTCTCTGTTATTTACCTTCTTTTCCAAGAGAAAATTAAAAAATAGGAAAAGGAGAGAGAGGGAAAAAATGAGAAGGAAGAAGGTAATGATTTCAAAATCAAATAGTGTATAATAAATAAATTTACATAAAAATCAGTAGAGTGTCGATTATCCGAAAGTCAATCATCCGAAACGTCAATCATCCGAAAGAATTCCAGTCGGCAAATTTAAATTTTCTCCAGTGCTGTGGCGCTGCAATCTTTGGCTATGTCTTGGGCTACTCAAATATTTTACATTTTTGATACTAAATTAATTTCTGAAGTATAATTTTTTATTGTTTTTATATTTTTCAATATATTTATTTTGTTCGTGCAAAATAAAAAAATAATTTTTAACGATACAATAGTCTTCGTTAGGCTTAACATCGACGAAAATTCAACGCGAAGCGACACGCAACGGAGAAAAATGTCAAGATGGGATAAATTAATATATTTTTCGTACATAATTGGTTATCCGAAACATCGATCTTCCGAACGACCCCACTTTCCAATTGATTCGGATAATCGACCCTCTACTGTATTTTAATTCATTTTTACAATTTTAAAACATTACAAAAATACTTAAATATTAAAGAAAAAGCATTGAGCATGAAAGATATAAAAAATACATATAAAATTTATTTGTTTTACATATAAAATATTAATTTTATTAAATAAAAATATACTTTCAATTTATTTTTTTATTACCACGTAATTCTATGTAAATTTAATCTTTACATAAAATATATAATGTGACCACTGACACTGATCTACATTCAATTATCTGCGTCAGTTAAACATTCATAATATTAAATCTATATTTTCACTTTCTTGTCAAATGATTTTTTATTCGATATTAGCATTTTAATAAGAACTTAATGCATTTTACATGCCACGTATCTAACATTCCATTTTTCTTATTAATATAAAAGAAAAAAAAATCGATCAAATATCATCTGCATATTTTTAAAATAAATTTCAATTCTTAAATTTACGCTTTTAACTTATAATTTTCATTTTTTTATAATTTTAATTTTGTTATAAAAATTTTTAAAGATTAATTTAATGAAGAAGGAAGAGAGGAGGAGACAAAGAGAAAGAAGAGGAAGAAGTGGCGAATAAGAAGAGGGGAGGAGGAGGAGGAGAAAGAAAGGAAGGAAGAGACGAAGAAGAGAAGAAGAAATAAAAGAACAAAGAGAAAATAAAGAAGATAATGATTCTAGCAAAATATTAATAAACGTTTTTATGTTTTCCTATAAAATTAAATTGTTAGCCTAATGATATTATTAGGAACTATTAGCAAATTCGTTTTTTCACTTGACGATAAATACAGTATACTCAAGCTCTGCTAAAAGTGTACAATCCTGCTTATGATTGGGCTACAATTTTCAAAAATTGCAGACCTATAAATTAAAAAATTCGCTCGTAATTAACAGAGTTAGATGACCTGCATGACTTTATTGTTAACAGGAAAATAATGATATACAGGGGCAAGACACTACTAAAATTGAGAGCATTGTGACAAAAACTGCAGCCTATCATTGTGACAATGTCTCAATAAATAATAGCTCGTTCTCAATACGGGACGAGCGTATCATTGTTCTCTGTTCGTTTCGTCAAGTGAGAAACGACTTTGCTGAAAGTCCCTATTGTCAATAAGATGGATTATCTTATTAACTTTTCAATGCATCATTATTCCCATTATTAAAATTTGTTCCATGTGTTTCCATGCATATTTATACAAAATATAAATCAAACCTCGTTGTAGTGCCGCTTTCGTAAGACACCAACTTATACTAGTAAACAAATGAATAAGAAACCCTTCACTATTTGTGAATTACTGAATATACTGTTATGCATTACAAACGACATTACTATCTCCAAATAACGCAAGTTTCAAACTTTCAAACTTGTGTGTAGACCACTAAGTATAATTCCTAATGTTTGAGATACTTCAATTTACCGCCACGCTCGATTTAGTGCCAGTTACATAGGCGAACAAATAATGTCGTTAAATCGAAGTTTAATTATAAACAGTAATATTGTATACGGAAACATGAAACAAACTTGATAATGATGTTGATGCGTTGAGAAGTTCCTATGTTAATTTTATTTGCAAATTTCATAAAGAAAACTCTAGAATCAGGTTTAAAAAAATTGCACATTTCTAAAATGATCATTCTTCCATCTTTAACAACAATGACCATTGTTCCATTGAGAAAAATCGTTTCTTACATTGAACTAAATTAAATCTATTTCCCGAGAGGTTGTCTATCAGAAGAATAAGTACTTAGAAGTCTATTAAGAAGGTTTCACATAAAGAATTTTCAATTACATCTCACAAACTTCATTCAAAACTGTGCCAAGTTTACTTCTTGGCTCGTTTTCTATTGTTACAAATGATCAGAGTTTCTTCTCATCCTTCTACAAAATGGCACCTTAAAATAATTTATAATACTTAATCATTATAAATGATGTATTTTATAACAGCTTGCTTTTATATTTTCATCTAGAATGTAGCAATCTATAACAATAATAAGCTCAAGAAAAACTAAGTTACAATATCAGAAATGATGTGATGACTGAAAAATTTATTTTTAAAAATAAATGTAAATAGCTCGAGAATTGAATAAAATTTCTGAAATTTTGCAGAGAGGTTTGTGTGTTAGTGAAATTAACGCTATTAAATTTCGATGGTTAAAGGCCGAGTGATTGAGGAGATATAGTGAATCGTATGTTATATCTCAAGTACGGTCGGACTTAATGACGATTTTACTCTTTATTATCATTTACAATTTTTTAAAACTCATCCCTATCCTCAAAATTAAGCCTTATCCTTAAAAGATATCATTAAAATATCATGCGCCATACGCAGTTTTAAATGTTGCCGGGAAAGTTAAGCAACACGTTGCTGGACTTTTTTAAATTAGTGTGATATCTTAAAACGAACAGACAAACAACTGGCAGATAAATGGAAAGATAAATAAATAAAATGAAAATATATATTCTGTTTTAAAAAATCTTGAACGTATTCAGGGATTTTGAGATTAATCGTTGTGTTACTCTTAACATTTTTTAATTGTTAAATTTAATTGTCTTGATAATTAAAAGTATATAATGAAATTAATTATAACGATATTTATGCAAATTCGCTTAAACCTTTTCATAGTTTAATGAATTTTTGTTCTTACAATAAATAAAATTTCTTAAGGTTTTGTAATTTAATATTAATGACATTTTAAGTTGATGTTTGCTTCAATGTACTCGTAACGATGAGCAATTAATGCGACAATAGACATCACACACGAACATACAATATCATAAAAAATGGATACTTATATTGAAAGAATGATTTGAACTAATATTCATTTATGAAGATTGGAGAGAACGAGAAGAAAAAGAAAGAGAAGAACCGAAGAGGAAGGCAAAGAGAATTGAAAAAAAATGAAGAGGAAGAGGAGGAGAGGAAGAATGAGACTCTTCTTCTCATTCTTCTCTTTTCATAAATATGACCGTAATACACATTTAAGGCAAAGCATTTTTACTTTATCAAATGATTAATGATTGTCACGAAAGATTCTCCAAAATGTTTACAAAATTAACCCTTATGCATTCTGATAAACATAAGATTACCAATGTTTACCGTTGTTAGAAGCTAATGGATAAGCAGAAAGTTTATACAACAAATTTGTGATGATTATTAATGCTTCCTGTTGTAACCAAATCCAATGCAATTTCATCACTTCTTAGGTTAATGTAACATCTGCTGCTTTACAGGATCATTTCATCTTCAATGTATTGACATAACATTAATTATGCTTGAGAAGAATTATTATACACTTTTGTTAGAATAAACCAAATGTCTGGGATAAGAAATTTGAATCGTTAGTGGTATTCTATAAATATATTAAGGAATAGAAGGAAAAATAATGAAGACAAAGAAAATGAGAATAAACAAAAGAAAAGGAGGATAAGAAAAAGCAGAAACCATAAAGAAAATTGTTATTTGTGTAGAAAAGTGAATTTTATAGTTTCTCGTTAACAAAAATTAGTATTATTAATTTTTAAGAATATCTTCTAAAAAATTCTCAAACTTCTACTTTAATTTTATAATTTATAATGTTAAGTATACATAAACTCTATAAGAACAGCTTATATAAGTTTATGCTACCCTTATATAGCGAGAAAAGAGCATTCTTCTCAAGTTTTAAGTAATTTAAATTCAATGCAAATCTCATTTTATCAGTTATTTATGGTACAGTACATTATATAAAATTTTTCTGTAAAATTTTATAAATTTTTATCACTTTTGAAATTTTTTTTATAAAAAATTTCAAAAATTAAACCGTTATTTTCGATTTTAAAATTTTGAAATCAAAATTAACGGTTTAATTTCAATTACAGGAATTATACCGTTTAATGTCAATTACACGCGAAGTACTGTAATTCATAGGTTAAATGAAATTTTAATCTACGTAATTTTGGATTAATTGACAGTTAATTTATTCATTTTTTTTATTTTAAAATAGGCTAAAGGTCAATATAAGTAGGAACAAAATGGAAAAGATGCCTTTATCAAGATTTATTTTAGAATTTTAAATTAAAAAATGTATTAAATATATTCAAACTATAGCTAAATTTTTAATAAAATTTTAAAAAACAAAGTTTTCAAGCAATTTATATTTATTTAAGTTTATCTTCCAAGGCCGAATTTTTGTTTTTCAACTGTACAACAAGTAGTTACGGGATAATGACTAATCTGTTTCTTAATTCTTCGAATTAAGTTTCAGATCATTAAAAGAATTAATTTTATTTCAGATAATAATAGAAACATTAAGCAAATTAGCTATAAAAGAATGAAATGAATAGATTATTTTCAAGGTAACTGCAAATGGGGATAAAAGTTGTGTACTTAGGAAGGAAATAAATGAGAAGAATACAAGAGCAGAATATGGAGAATGCATGGACAAATGGAGAGTGTGCATGGAACGATAGAGAGGATGTACAAGAAAAATGTAGAAAATATGTAAGTAAAACAGGAAAGATGTAGGAGCAAAATAGGGAGATGAACATAATGGAAAAGATGCATTCACTCTTCTGCATTGGTGCAACCTTCTCATTTTTATATTATAGACTTATATTTTACTTTATTCCCTTATTTTCATTTAGTTTAATTACTTTTTTAAATACAAAAAAACATCAAAAATTAATTTTACAAATTCAGTTCCAAGCTCACCTCATCAAAAGTAATATCATCTTCCGCATTTTCAATCACTTTCGTATAATGAGAAACACCTATTTAAAAAAAATAATTATTATTAATTTAAAATAAAATTTGAAAATGTTACAATTTATAAATTATAGATAATTAATTACGATACAAAAATATAAATTTTTCGAATTTATTTTAATTATAATAAGACTTCCTTGTAATAAATACAAACATAAAAACGGGAGTTTCGCTTAGTTTTTATTATTTTTTTTTTTATTATAACGAAGTAAAATTTTTAAAATTAATTTTGAAAAATTATTCTAATTGGTCAATAAATTAATTACACACGCCTACTTTGTTTCTCCAACCAATCATTGTTTTAAAATGTTTCAATATCTTTCAAGTTTGTCTTGCATATTTAACAGAGAACTACATATGTTTGTAAAAGCTTATTTTTATTTAAAAATAAGCATAATAGACACAAAAATGACTTTTTATATAAAAATAAAGAATCAAAAGTCCAAAAATTTTTTAAAATTTAATTAAAANCCTATAAGAATTTATAATATTTATTATTAAATTTGTTAATATTATCAGAGAAGATAATAAGAATATTTACAACTTTTATTACAAATTTTTATATTTATTAATATTAATTAAGTTTTAAAAGGATTTTTCATACAAAAACACAATTCTAGAAGTCTATAAAAGGCTTTAAAATTTAATTAAAATTATGTATATATTCTATATAAGAATTGTAACATTTGTTAAAATTTTTAAGGACATAAACAATTTTAATAAAATTAATTTAATTTTTAATAAGATTAATTAGTTTTTAATTAATGTATGCAATTAAAGCAAACACAACGTTTTTATCGTTAATTAAAATCTTATTTTTTATTCAGCTGTTTGAAATATGTAAAAAAAACAATTAATTATTTACTTTTTATTTTTTAATTAATATTTTAAATTGAAATTTTAAAAATAAACGACAATTTCACATAATTTTATTTATTAATTATTCATCAAATAATAATAACAAATATCATTTTAGGTTCTTTATTCAATTATTTTTCACTATATCAAATTGATTTTTTTTTATTGCCTTTCGTTAAAACAAAGAAAACAACTGATAATGACACTTGAATTTATAAGCTGATTAAAGTCTTAAAACTCCTAAATAATTTGTAATGCACTTATAATTTTTTTTAAATAAATTAAATCCCAAATTATATTCAAAATTAATTAATTTTGTTAATTAAGATTAATTTATAGTTCCTATCTATGTAGAAGCATCCAGTATAAGACAATGTGTTGAACGAATAATGAAAGATAAACGAGAAACAAACAATTTTAACATCTCCTTGAGATAAGTACAATTAAATATGGAGGACATGTTTAATTGTATCTATCTGTTGACGAATAGGACTTGATATTTACCCGCAAAACCCATTCACAAATATTTCTTAAGACACAAGAACTCGAACCCTGATCCCCAGAAGGGAAAGCTAATGCTTTGTCGGTGATTCTCAAACTTCAGTGGGCACCAGAAGTTCCCAAATCTCAAGTTTTTCGTTCCAGATACTCCAATGTAAGCAAGTGATTCCCAAATCTCTAGTTCTTTATTTAATGTTTTGTAATGTTTATGTAAACATTACAAGAAAACTTCAAAACACAGAATATAAGCATTTAAATATATATACAAATAAAACGACAATAAGTGAGTAATTCAGTAAAAATGATAAGAATGATAAGAATAAAGTTATTTATTCCATAAACTAGGAAATGTTCTTTGGTGATTTCCTGAAAATTAAATAGAAAATGGAATACCGTATGATGTAATAAAATACCACACCCAAACGTCATATAAAATAAATTACTTCGCTCTAAAGTCGTCCCAATCTCTCTTTCATCAAATTCTCCAATTCTCTGAAATGTATTGCGGTCTAAAAGTCAGTTAACCGAGTTAACTAGCGGTCTTATCTCTCGGTTAACTGATTTTTGGAATCAACTGATAGAAAGGAAAGAAGTGAAAATTAATTAATTTGCTCTTTCTTCAAGTAAAGTAATTGATATAATGCTAGTTTTAAGCGGTTATATATAATTTTTTTAATATAATTCACGCTTCAATGTATAAGGTAGCCAAACAAAAGTCAGTTAACCGAGTTAGCTGGCTTCTTTATTTGACAGTAAACTGAATTATGAGACGTGTTGTATATTAAACCAGCTAAGAGATTGTTAAACTTGATAATTAAGTTTTACAATTCAATCAATGTAATATTTATCCGCCGAAATTCATTAAAATTCATTCTTATCTGTTATATAAGTTAAATTAAGTAATACAAGTTAAGGAAATTTTAATTCCAAAGTGTTATTTTCGATGACAATTTTTATTATATAAGTTTTAAATTTTTAAATAAATATTTAAAGGGCACAATTAACCAATAAATTGCTTTAATTTATTAATGCTGGCTATTTTATTTAATTTAAAAAAAATTACTAACATTTATTTCTTTACATTAAGTTTTATTAATTCATATAAAGTCAGTTAATCATTTTAAAGCATAAAAAGTTGCTGTTTTATTCAAATAATTTATAGAATTGTTTGCAAAAAAATAACCTGACTTTTGGGCCATGCTGTATAGTGGCAATACAGTTGAGGGCCCATTCAATTAGCACTCTGATTTCGTACAGTACAAGACAAGACTCAAAATTTAGTCATAAATCACTAATTTTGGAAAAATTTTTTGAGAAAACACTAAATTTTGGTAAAAACACAGTGGAAAACTGATATAAATTAAAGTTTATTTTGACTAATAGTTAAAAATGTACAGTACTTTTATAAGTTATAATGATCTTATTTGTATACAGTAGACCCCCCGTATAAAACGGGTTCATATAATACGGATTCGTGTAACAAGGCGAAAAAATTGCGATCGTATTCGTATAAACACAGTAAAAGAGACTCGTATAATACGGTAAAACGTCATCGCTGACGTCATCGTGACAGGATTGGTCGAATCTAGACCAATAGCGAATATTGCACAAACCGTTGAGTTTAAACGAGCAGCGGACCTACTAAAAACCATTTATTATTTAACGGCCATAAAAAATTATATTTATATTAATGGTGTCTCCAAAGTTCAGCGAATTTTTCGCAGAAAAATAACTTATCAGAAAACCGCTCGATGCGCCGCTCCGCGACGAAAACAAGCTTAAGCAATGGCGTGGTCTAACGGTGCACACTCGATAAGTAATCCTACAATTTTTTGTTTATAGCAGTGTTTATATGGATTATTCCCAAAAAGTTATTCGTGTTTTGGAAATGTTGAGTCAAATTAGTTTAGAATCGATTAATTTTATGGAAGAAAACTTTTCAAACAGCCGTAGTCCCTAAACTACACAAGTGCCGGGCTGTGATTGGCTCTTGTATTTAAGTGACTGGTGAAACACGGAATTCATATAAAACGAACGTACTGTACCTACCGTGTTATAGGGGGTTCTACTGTATTTTTATGGCCTCGTAGCGAGGTTAAACCCGTATTCGTGACTTATGCTCTGTCATGTTCTGTATATCTAAACAACCACTTCATTGACTCTATACGCAAGTTTTACAGCTGCAACCTCGTAATGTATATGTACTTTATACGTGTAAAGCGTAACGTAATGCGATATCATACGAATAAAGCGTAACAAAGTTTTAACGAGTCATTCCACAAGTTTTAATTGCTTAAAAATGAAAAATAAGTTAATTAATTGCAACAAAATTTTAATTTTCAAAGAATCGTGTCGACTATTATGCAACTCTGCTTTCAACCAATCAACGCAATGAACATACTTAATTTTCAAAGTGTCTCGACTAGTTGTAAAATTCGTCGACTGAAAAATTTCATGAAAAACGTTTTATTTTTTTTATTCAAAATCCATCAGAATGTCTTTCAATTTTTAAATTTCTTTCAATTAATTAAACTCTTCTTGAGAAGTTAATATTTAGCAGAAGGGAGCAAGAGACGAGGAATGTGGTTTAGTATTTAAATCATTTAAAACGAAATTTATATAATTAGGCACTACTTTTATTACACACTTACCAGACCTCAATGGGAGGAAAAGAGATGAGAAATAATGCCCAATTCAAATTATATATAAATATCACGAGAATAGATCTGAATTCGTACTACAAACACCCCATAACAGTGATCCTTTTTTTTTTACTTTCCCTGTTGTTATACATAAAGAGAAAATATGTCGATCGGTTTAAAAAATGGTCCCCCAAAATTTATACATTTTTGCACTCGGAAGACCTTAAAATGTAGAAAACTGCAAAAGATTTCGGGGGTGGGGTTTTCTATATATATGAATGTTAGTGTGTGGGGGGACACGATCTTGTTCACCTTTTTTCAAGCTTAATAACTCCTGTGTCTTTTGTCGAAAATTTCTCAAATTTTGTAGGGATGTTTGTGTATTAGGGAATCGGTGTTATTAAATTTTGATGGTTAAAGGTCTAGGAAATGAGGAGATAGAAGGAAATAACGTGTCATATCTCGAAGATTTTACTCGTTTACAACTATATATATATATATATATATATATATATATAAAATTCATATGACGAGACAGCATAAATTCTACATCCAAAAATTTTATGGAACCCCCAAACATACACAATATATACACAACATAAATTCTTCACGTCAAATAAGAGAAATTCCAGCAACAAGTTGCACAATATATCAAAAGTTATTCTTTGTGACAAATCTCTGTGAAAACTCTGAATTTCTCATCTGAGTATTTACGAAAATAGAAAAATNCACATAAAATAGTTGTTATTAAAAAAAATATGTGTCTTTCAATATATTTAAATGTGAAAAAATCCAATTTTTGGGTCTTATCTTGCCATATTTTCGTCTCACAATTTCTTTATTTTTAATTTATATATCTTTATTAAACGAGTAAAAATTGAAAACAAAGAATTTATGACATCAACAAGAATCAATGCCAGAATGAAACCCAAAAATTGGATTTTTTATATGTAAATATATCATAAGACCAAGTGCTCCAACACACCGAAATATATATATATATA